AGAACTCAACGGAACACAAGCTGCAGCAGTAAGTATGTGCAACACCGTTGTAATTTGCTCTACATAAAAAAAAGATCCAGAGCTATTTAAAGCTGAACTCCGAGATAAGCATGTAATGCATTGTTGCTTCTTGAATCTCGGTCAGCTTTGTGTATTTCTTCCAGATCTCTGCAGTAATCCAGTGTGAGAGCTTCCTGTAATAAAGACTGGTTACTGCTGCTCTTTCTCATTGCGCACGGTGGCTGGTCTTGTCTCTCCGCCCCCTCCTGTAAAAAAGACCGGTCACTGTTGCTCTTTCTCCTTGTACAGGATGACTGGTCTTGTCTCTGCCCCCCTCCTGTAATAAAGACCAGTCACTGCTTCTCTTTCTCTTTGTGCAGGGTGACAGGTCTTGTCTCCGCCCCCTTCCTGTAATAAAGACTGCTCGTTGCTTCTCTCTCTCCTTGTGCAAGGTGACCGGTCTTGTCTTCAACCCTCCCACAATAAAGACCACTCACTGCTTCTCTCTCTCCTTGTACAGGGTGACTGGTCTTGTCTCCGCCCCATCTATAATAAAGACCGCTCACTGCTTCTCTCTCTCCTTGTACAGGGTGACTGGTCTTGTCTCCGCCCCCATCTATAATAAAGACCGCTCACTGCTGCTAATCTTTTTATTAAAAGACTCAAGCAACGTTTATATAAAAAAAAATAACAAAACATAACCATAATATTAACTGTACAGAAACAAAAAGCCCCCTCCCACAATAAACGCCACTCACTGCTGCTGTTGTGTAACTGTATCAGCCAAATGATCGGACCAGCTGTGATGTGCAATTTCTTCTTTACTAAACAATGAAAATCAACATAAATTGCACCGGGGAAAGCAAATGAACAGGGGAGTGCAATACAGAGCATTAATATCAACAATAAGGTATACCACAACCACAATATACCAAAGGCGGGGAGCAGTGACTTTGTAACAGGTCCCATTTTTGACCATTCAATAGACATGTGCGATTCATTTAGTTCCGAATCGAAATTGGGATGAAATTTTCGGAAATTCGGACGTATCCGAGTTCCGAATTACAGAGATAACGAATGCAAACGAATCCGAATTTCCGATTCCAAAATTCGTTAGCGGTAGTCTGGCCGAAATTTCGTTTGTTGAACGAAATTTCGTTGCAGAAAAATGACATTTGAGGGAAAAACTTTTTTTCTTTTCTCAAATGTCTTTGCTGCCAGGAACGAACGAAACGGAAACGAAACGAACGTTCGTACAGATTACCGCTAACGAATTTCGTCCGAATCCGGATTCCGAAACGAATGGACTTTTCGGACCAGAATCCCAAAAAACGAAATAACGCAAGATGCGAATCAAAACGAAACAAAATTTTTTTTTGCTGGTGCAAATGTCTACCAATTAATGATCCAATTGTGACTGCTAATGTGATCAAAGACACCAACACTCCGAAGGTCCAGATGGTTCGAGAGACAGAGGCATGTACTTTGCAACCCTCTCATCTTCTAAACCTAAGAAAACAAGAGTTTTATTTTTGTCGATTATAGTTAAAAAAATAATGTTGTCAAAAAATTAGCTTGTTAATAAGAGGAAACATTTACTTGTGATAATCCTCGGAGATATCTGCGTTATAGGAATCTAAACCCCAAAACAAAAAAAATATAATATATTGCAGCTTACCAGCTCATTTCCCTCCCTGGTGATCTTGCCAGTAACACACTTAAGGTCACAGCTTAGAACCAGTAACACACTTAGACCCCGTTCACATTGAGCGATTTATCGCGCGGTAATTCCCGCGATATCGCGGCAAATTACCGCGCGATATCGCGATCCAATGCAATCCAATGGGGCAAAGAGTCCTGCTGTCGCAGGTCATGTGTCGCTACAGCAGGACCCTTTTTGGAGCGGATTTAGCCACGATTCAAGCTTGCTCAATGCAAGCTTGAACGCGACATCGTGCGGCAAATCTCGCGATGTCGCGCAATATGCAAATCGCACGACAAACGCGCGATTTGCATATCGCGCAGTGGGAACGGGGCCTTAAGGTCACAGCCTAGAACAGGAAGTGAGGACTAAGGTATCACCCACATAATGAGGCAGCCTGAGGCTGTTGCCTCAGGCGTCATCTCTTTGGGTCACCTGTGGGGGGCAGCATGGACACAATGCTTGCAGACCTGCCACCCTCTTTACAGGCAGAGCATGCCAGAGCCCGGCAGGGAGATGTATAAAAGCCATATGTATCTCCCAGCCCAGTTCTTAGCAAGATGGAGAACTCTGGCCAGCGTTCTGCCCAACTCCTGGCAACCACTGGGGTTGGTGAGTTGCCACCAGCACTCCCCAACCCCAAACAGCCTTGGGACCAGGGACGTGCGGTCAGGAGAGGCAGATAAGGCAGAGCCTAGTATAACGGAGGAAAAAGCTGTCAGCTTCAAGTCTGAAGCTGACAGCTTTTTCTCCATTCAGATGGCCTTGTAACAGGTTACACAGCAGGGAACTCCTCCCCACTGTGTAACCTGTCATGGACGGAACGGTGGGTGTTAATTACAGGCAGTGCTGCATCCGGCTTTTGACAGGTAGTTAGGTTACACAGCAGCGGGCTTCCCCACCGCTTGTGTAACCTAACTTGTGGGGCAAGAGGTGTCACGGCCTCTACTCTGTGTTAGAGGTGTGAGCTCTGTGGATGGCTTGGACCAAAAGCAAAGCGCCATTGGTCCAAGCTGTCCAAACAAAAAAAAGAAAGAAAACCCCACCAAGGCCTTTGATCTCGATGCCTCAGCAGTGACGAGCAAGTGAGGGACCGGGAGGCTCCTCCTGTCTCCTCCCTTCCTTCTCCATCCTCCTTCACACTAGCTTGGGGATGGCGGCAGGGCCGGATTTACTCTCTATGCTGCCCCAAGGCTAGGTTCCGCAATGCAGGCTGCATACAAGTGATCTCGGCGACATCACAGAGATCACTTGTACAAAACAAGCGGCTGCTTCCCCGCTGTACATTTTAGTCCTGCTTGCCCAAAGCAGGGTTAAATGTAGAAAAGAACTACCCGCCCGGCACCCGGAACTACATTTCCTGGGCATCGGGAGATAGGAATTCCACACCCCTGCTGCCCCTCTACTCCCTGCTGCGCCAAGGCCGGGCCTCGGTTGGCCTTGTGGGAAATCCGGTCCTGGGATCGGGTTGGGGGGGGGCAGGGCTACGATGGGCTGGGCTACAACGGGATCTGGGTGGTGCTTTGGTGGGCTGGGGGCGGGGATTGGCATGCAGGGGGGCGAGGCTGGGAAATGCCTCACCCGGAACCAAAGGTACCTCACGTCACTGCTAGGGACACCCCTGTACAGAACCCCTCTCATTATCTCTGTAACATGCAGGAAGTTGTTCTGTAGTTCACCGAGATATCTGAGAACATTGTAACAATGGTCCCAGCACAAACAGAGAGCGCAGGAAGGGCTTACAAGATTTCTGGCAGGATGAACACTTTTTTTTTGCTCTTATAGAAGAGATAAAATGAATCCGGTGAAATAATATACAGTATCTATCAGACCAAAAGGAGACAAATAAGAGAAGCTGATTGCTGGGCTGTTGATACACTTATATCTGATACGGCTGTTTGCTGAGTGTCCATTTCATGAAGCCAACCCCCCGATAACACGTTCAGCGTTCGGAAGGCTTTACGTTTACTTCAGCGTATTCTGCGTGAACTTTGACTGCCATCAGATAAAACAGATCTGCGCCATAAATAGTTACAATATCCCAGGAAAGTTACAGAATTTCCGCAATAAAACTTCCCTTTCGGTGGCCATATACCAATAAAAGGCTGATTATACGTTGCAGCAAAGGTGACCCTCCGATAAGAAGGGATCGGCCAGTCCGCAGCGACCTGATTCCACCCCACTGATACTCCGCGTGGCTGAACGCCGTACACTCTGCGATTCCTTCAATATGCCCCTGAGATAGTTTTATCAGCTCTAACCCAATGACATAAAGGGGCTCATTTATCAGAGCGGATATCCCTATAGGCTCGTCTTTGCTTTTTGCGGCCCATTCGTAGAATGCGGGCCGCCGCATGGAGCCTGAGGTGTCCTATGGAGTAGGGTTGCCACCTGTCCAGGATTCACCCGGGCAGGCCGGGTTTTGAATGCTGTGGCCGGGTTTCATGGCAGCAGAAACCCGGACTCAAGATGTCAGGCAGACAGGGGCAACGAAAATTAAGATAAAAGTGAAAATAGTCTCAACTGTGATATTTACATATGAATGGGCGTCACTGGCGTCACCTGGGTGACACCATTGGAGGGGTGACACCAAAATGACTCACAGTCATTTTGGTGTCACCCCCCTCTGAAAAGTCGGGCGCTCGGTCATGGACCGAACGCCCGACAGTATCAGGAGAGAGGAGGGGACCCGGCGGCATACCTTATCCCGCCGGGTGACTGTCCCCTCCTCTCTCTGCCGGAGT